CCCCTAACTCCAGCATCACACGCTCCAGATCCAGCTGCCTCTGGAAAAGCTCCACCTGTGACCCATGAGGTTTTGGGGTGACATCTAGACACAAGCCACAACAATAGGGTGATTATGGGATGACCACATAAGCATATACATTTACCAAAACTTTGAACTACACTCTAAAATCTGTACAACTCACTGTAGGTAAGTTTTAGTTTGATTTTTAAAAGAAAATGACATGGGTGTGATTTCAATGTTTGTTCCTGACTTCAATAAGTTCACCATCTTCCAAAAACATTCTTATTTTTATGACACAGAGCACATATATATTTCAACAGAACAAAGTGACAGACCAGTAAAAAATATGTAAATCTATCCCAAGATAACCTCATTTTAAATAGATAAATATATATTTTAATATGTATCTTTTAAAATACATATACATATATATGGAGAGAGAGGTAGTGTTACGTACAATATACTTTATCATTATTCCCATCTCTATATTGTTTTTACCCTGCTCTTTTAACTGTCCTTTGCATTTTGCTGGTTAAACTGAGCAAGTACCTTAACAAAAAAAAAGTCCCACTAGTAGGCATTTATCCCAATGAAATAATGAGATATGTACATGAAGATTTTATACAGAGAATAATTTATATTGATGAAAATTTGTAAACAACACACATACTCACACTATACTGAGGATTGAACCCAGGGCCTTTGCACTGACATACATCTGAGTCCTTTTATTTTTATTTTTGTTTTGAGACAGAATCTCACTAAGTCACTAAGTTGCCCAGGCTGGGCCTCAGCCTCCAGTGCACTGGAAACACAGGTCTGGTTTATTCCAGCACCACATCCAGCTAGCATAAATAAATTGATTAAATCAACTATGTTAATGGAATACTTAGGTAAACCTAAACATTGGCAAGGAAAATTGGCCATAATATAAGGTGTAATAAAAAACTATAAACATATTTAAATATTTTTAAATGATTACAGTAAAAGATACATTGTCATTAATCCCACTCAGAATTCTCCTTGCTTTGAACACACTTATCCCAATTCTTGTCACTTTCTGAAGCAGTTCTGGGAGTCTCTTTCACGAATGTCTTTAGTTATACAGCCATAGCTACCTCGATGTTCCAAACTGATTCAAGACCTTTACCTTTTGTGTTCGTTTGACTTTGAGGAAGAGTCAGAAGTCACGTGGTAAGTTGGGATTTGGCTCAGAGGTTCCACCGCCTGCCTCGCAAGCACGAGGACCTGAGTTTGATCCCTGGTACCAAAAAACAAAAAAACAAAAAATAGAAGTCACGTGGTGGCAGATCCGGTAAATAAACTGAACGAAGAAACAGAGTAGTGTTTTTATTTGACAGATATTTTCTGGAACATAAACTGTAAATTGCTTCAGAAAGTGACAGGAATGATGGGACACGTGTGTTCACAGCGAAGAGGAATATTTTAAGGGGGTGATGGCAATATGCCTTTTACTGTAATACATTTTTTTTTCGGTACTGGGGTTCCAACGAAAGACCTTGCGCTTTCAAGGCAGGCGGAGGCACCACTGAGCTAAATCCCTGGCCCATGCAGTAAAATTTTTTAAAAGTTCAACGTACTGTGTATTTTTAATCACACCATATATATCATGAGCTAAAAACAAACAAACAAACAAGCTGGCGCCATTTGACAATGAGAGTATGATTATTGTCATCAAAACAAGCTTAAGAAATCTAAGAAAAGTATGTATTTCAAAAGCCCATCATAAGTATACAAAGACACATATGCTGGGCTTTTGGCTCAGTGGTTCCGCCGCCTGCTTCACAGCTCAAGGGCCCGAGTTGGATCCCCGGTAACAAAAAACAAACAAACAAACACAAACAAACAAAAAGATAAATGTACCCAGAATTGGGGAAACTGAATTACAAAGACACAGACGCATACAATATTAACTAACACACATGCATATGAACACACCAAACAATATCCTTACGGTTAACTGTGCTTATTTAGTGGGAGACACTGATTATCATCTTAATTCTTCACAATGAATATGTATTGTAAGAAAAAGCTGTGGAGTGGGGGTGGGGGATTGGTTTTATTTTTTGAGAACGATCGCCGAATTGCCTTTGCGTTTCCCCTCGACACTCAGTTTTCTTGTGAGCCCTGGGCTCTTCACACCGGCCCACCCTGCTGGGCCACTGCGAGCTCAGAGATTGAGACCCTGAGAATGGAGTGCAGGGCGCGGAGGGGCCTCGGGGCAGCAGCAAGCGCGCGACACCGCGGAAGGCCCAGCGCGCAGAG